TAATAATACATCGTAAATCTCGTTGAAACAATAAATTTGTGAGACCCTTCACAGTGTACTTATCTAAGTACGACTTTTAAGTCCTGACCTATTAACCAGAATCTCTTGTAGGGAAAGCGTGAATTTGTGTATAGATCTATATGGGACTGACAATCCCGCACCCCTACTGTTCGCTACAGTTTGGCCGGCAGGCCTAGGGTGTCAAATATCATATCCATTCCGACGCCTGAAGAACGTCGCAGCAGGCATTTCAGTCATATTAGTATGGTTAATAGAACTCACATGGATAAAACAACGAGTGAATTACAAAGTAATATACTTTTCTTAAAACAGTAAGAAAAGATAATTACATCCCGACCAAATATACCTTCTGTAGTTTTTACTTACAGTAAAAGCTACGTATCATGAAATCAAGTATTGTACTTCTGGTTTTGAACATTTAAAACCACATGGCAGTATTATGGATAATACAATATTTTCCAGGATTAATACTAAGGTTTTTACTATAGAACATATATAACTAAGAACACTTTTACAAATGAAACGGTTTATGGGATTAAACGACTTTTACAAATGAAACGGTTTATGGGATTAAACCACTTATACAAAGGAAACGGTTTATGGGATTAAACCACTTATCAAATGAAACTTAGTCATTCAATCTTTGTAACTAGTATAACATAAAAGACCTTTAGTGGTTAATTCTATAATTCCTTAGTTATTACATCATAGTTATACATAAGTAATATCCGATTGACAGTGAAATGTGTGACTTCCGCCTTACTTCCTGTTCCTTGTTTGGTTGTGGGCTTAGGGAAGATACACCCATTTAACTGTCCATTCGATATTGGGTTATGTGTAATCAGTATAAACTAAGTAATTACAGAGGGAAACTATTAAGGTTATCAGTTAATCACCTCAGGAAATATAGGATTTCCTGGAGAAACCAGTGAACTTATCCAAAGAACTTAGGGTATACTTAACAGAACTAAAATACTTATGAACTCACCAGCTTAAATGTTGATCTACTCTTTCCAAATAACTTGTATTCTCAGGAATCCAGTAGACAGGTACACTCCCGAAGCTTTTTTAGAAGACTACCTAATACCTTACCGCGACTCTTGTCTTCTATTGTACCTACTTTGGTGTTTGAATATGTAATGTTTAAACACTTATGTAAAACTTATACTTATTAATACAATGGTTGTTTGTACTTTGATTACTATATTGCATGTGTTGTGATACTTACCTAAAGTCCTCTGCCCCCGAACGTTTCCGCCGTTCTGGTTTGGGGGTGCGACACCGGCTATCATTAACATAACAATACTTAGTCAAAATCCATAATACTTCTTAGGGTAAAATGACCATTTTACCCATTGGTCTAATTTTGGGCCATACCCAAGGCCCAATTCCATCTTATTTTTCCCAGCCCACTAAAGGCCCACTAATGGCCCAATTTTCTACATTGGGCCAAATTCTTTAAATGGGCCTTTTCACAAACCCAATAAATCCTTAGTCCCAAAATAAATAACTCGAGTGGCCCAATATGGCCCAAAAGGCCCAATACTCTAAGTCTCAGTTCTAGGCCTAGAAATTCTGCTCCACAGTGGGCCATGATGCCCAACTATCCAAGCCCAAACTTCTATGTCCCAAAATCCCAAGTCCTCTACTCTGCATGCGTACGCACGACGTACCTGGCACGTAAGCCCAACGTACGCTGCCCTTGACTACAACGGAAAAATGACCTGGTACGCGCTGCGTACTGGGGTGTACACACGGTGTACCAGCCAACTTCCTTGGGACTTCATTTGTGACTTAATCACCTAAGTCCTCACGTGTAAAATGTATATCCATGTCCTTTAGGGCTTCCTAGTCCATAAAGTCACAAACTTTATGTGCTTGCATGCATGGTTGGGGTAAAAACATGATTTTTGGTCCTTAACCCAACTTTGTGACCTTCAAACACTTGCATGGTTGGGGCTTAACCATCAAGGTCCGATTTTTATTACTCTAGGTGCTTCTAAGAGCCCAAAAGGACAGCTCTTATTTTCTGAAACTATCAAGACTCAAGCATCCTCAACAATGGAGTCCAAAAGTGACATAAAACACCCCAAAATCAAATCTAAACATGTAATGATCAAGATTGAAGCTTGATACCTCAAATGAGTCAGAAATGGTGCTAATCACCTGGATCTATAAGCTCCCTTTGAATCCTTGCTCCTTCTTCAAACTTCTTTCTTCTCCAAACACTAAAACAACACTAAAATACTCTAAAATGGCTTCCAAATCACAAGGACACGCAAGTATGAGCTAGGGTTTTCGTGGTGGCTGTCTAAGGGTGAGAGGGAGGCTGAACCAAAGGAATAAGGTTCTTTATATAGGGATCAAACCCTAAATTTTAGGGTTTTAGAATCTGCACACGGACAATGCGCGTACTCCTGGTACGCTGGGCGTACGTGCATGACTTCTGCGGTCCAGTCTCTTGAGTACACTGAGCGTAAATGGCAAGATACGCTCCGCGCACGGTGTTTCCTTAGCCCACTTACAAGGGCCCAAAGGTCTAATCCCACACCCTTTTTAAAACTATTAACCTCATGTAAACATATAAAATAGTACCTTATAAATTTCGGACGTTACAAAAACAATGATGGGGAAGACGAAGACGAAGACACATAGTATTTCTTGTTTTATGTTATCGATGATGTTATTTTGGATTTATTAGATAATTTATGTATTATATATTAGATGTTTATTTGAGATTTGTGAGATATGTAATATGGTATGTTTGATGTTTTATGTAATGTGGTATGTATCTATTTATGTATTTTTATCAAATCTGCATTTTATAATATATATAAACTAATATCATAAAAAATATGTTTCTTCTCAAAAAAAAAAAAAACATTAGCAGCGACACCTTTATGGACGACGCAGACTAATTGCGACGACACATAACTCCGGGAAGCTTTGCCGGAAAAACTCCGGCCGATGGCCGGAATATCAATAGAGACGACGTCAATAGCGACGGCACAGGAGTATTAGAGACGACACGTATTAGAGACGACGGTATTTGCGACGACAAACAAGTATTAGCTACGAGGTAATTGCGACGTCCCTTTAGAGACGACATGTCGTCGCTAAAGGTATTAGCGACGACAGTGGGCATCATTTGCGACGATTTTTGTCGCCGCTAAAGGCTACATTTTTTGTTGTGATAACATAAAATTTAAATTTGTTATAGATAAATACATAAATTTCTTGAGAAATGTGAAAACATACCTCAAGAAAGAAAACAAAGAATGATTGTAGGCCTCTAAATTTCAATATCGGTTAAATACATTGTTATCATCCATATCCCTCCATATCCACCATCTGATTTTTGAACAAAAGACGCGATTTGAACCCGATTAAAAATGAATTATTAAATTAATAAAACTTGAAAATGATATAAAAGTTAACATATAAAATTTAAAATTGTTAGAATTAGAAAAACATTTCCTTTTCATGAGAGGCTTTCTCTATTTTAAACTACGGACGTTTAAAAAAAAACATATTAAAACATACCCGAACGATTATGTGAAACCATCATTCTGCCTCCTAAAATTGCAGGTGCCTACATGCGTAAATATGTCCGGAAAAAAAGAGTAATTTAAGCCAAAGCACTATAGAAATTATACATTATTTATGTTTAATTATCTTGAATGGGTAAGCAAAAGTGGTAACCTGTTCCTTATTGTTATAATTGGGCATATTTTCAAATTAGAATGACTTGATAAGAAAACAAAATGGAAAATATATACATGTAGGATGCTATAACAGATAAACAAATACAAGTATACTGTTATTTTCAAAAAATGTTGTATTTCCATAACTAAATAGTTAAAAAAAGTTGCATCTAAATTACACAAATCGTCCCTCATGCAAGCGTCAAAACACATATTTGGTCCCTAATTTCAAATTTTAAATCGGACCGTCCCTCATCTGTTTAAAACATGCACGTTTAATATAAATACTACAGTTTATATGTTTTAGTTTATTTGCTTTTTTATTTTATTTACGATAATTAATACAAAATAAAATAGACTTTTTTTTTTAAATTTCATAAATGGTTCAGTCATTATGGGGACTTAACGTCTCTCTCTTATAATGATCATGTAACTTTTGATTTAATAATAATAAAATACTTAGAAAAGAAAGAAAATTAGAAAATAAATATAATAATGACTGGTAGTTTAAATTTAGATGAGACCAAATGAACAACAAAATTTGTTGGAAAAGACTATGTTTCTAATTTTGAAATTTTAAGGATCAAATCTCTAAAAAAATGCACACCACAAATATTATTTTTGCAGTTTGTCTAAATATAAACAAATCATATGATAAGATTCCAAAGCAAAAAAAATTGAAAAAGTGGAGGTGTAATATATACCATTGATTTCTGTTGGAGGACCTTAAAATAAAAATTACTGAATGGTGGATTGACGTTGATGAGTAACTTTTTTATGCAATACACTAATTAATGGTGCATATAGGAGTACCCCTTTTTTTTATTTTTTTTTTAACAGCAAAAGTGTAATAAAAAGTCATCTGCTAAGTAGAAAACGCCTAACAAGACAAGGAAACAGGAAGCAAAGATACAAAAGATTTGACACGTGGTTATCAAATATCAATGTGTTAGGTACTAATTATTGTTTTATGTCTGCTTGAGTGTTTGTAATTCGTGCATGGGGAAATATAAGACGATCACACCTAGACTCCTTACACATGCATCATGTGAGTTTTTAGTCAAATGCTTTATTTTGAAAATATTTTGTATCAATCGGATTTAATTTTTTTTTTTCCAACAACCATCTCTAGCTTTTAGGAATTGGAAAACGTGGATCTCGTGAAATGTTTTAGACATGCCACCTCACCTCTTCTAACTCCTCCATTCAATTATACAACCCCAAGCTGGTGTCTATATATAGTCAAGCACTTAACGGACTAGACGTACAACTTCATTCCACACTCAGACCACAATGGTACACACTTTCATCATATTCTGAAAGTTTGTTATCTATATTTGAATAGGGATTGTCAGGTTTACATGGTTTCTTCATTGCTAGCATTCTTTCAATCTCTTTTAGTAATATTTTATTCTGGATCCATATGCAGGCAGCCAATGCAGAATGCGTATGGGGTACACCTTGGGGAGGAAAGGGTGGATCACGTACCTGGGAATTCATAATACCTGATGGCACAAGACTTACCAAGATTGATTTAAGCAGTGGAGACGCTTTAGATTTCATCCGCTTCACTTACAAGGATGGGTATGGCCATACCCATACTTCTGAAAAATTCGGTGGTGATGGTGGGATACCTCATATGGTAAGCTTCTAATTCATCTGTCATGTATACACGTATCCAAGTTAGGTTCTTATTTTATAATATATCAGTCATGATATTTATATTTCGGTTTCAGATCATCTTCGACGACAATGAGTACCTCATTGGGATTAGTGGACGTGTCGGATCATTTGGTGACAACACCGTGATTACGTCAGTGACTTTCAAGACCAACATCGGAACTTATGGTCAATACGGCACAAACCCCGGGACTGATTTCTCGTTTGGGGTCACACACGGTAAGTTTTCGGGATTCTATGGGAAGTGTGGCAGCGCCATAGACTCTTTGGGTGTCATTCTTCAGGCGTGACATGATATATGACAGCATGCATGCATGTTGTGTTTGATGGAAACAAATGTTAGATGGTCGTACGTTATTTTGGTTTCTATATGTGGTAATCCTATGTATTTTATATGTTTTAAGATCGTATCTAGTTTCTTCAGATGTGAAACTAATAAAATAAGGTAGCATACCAAGTGGAGTACAATAAGCACCCTTGTGGTGCATGTGCATTACGTTTCTCATGTACCCCTTAAGCTTCTAAATGGATTTTTCTTGCTTTCTTCTTTGCTAATACTTCCACCATAAATTTGTTTGGTTTTAGTTTCTAGCTCGTGTTGATTTCTTCTTTATTTTTTGTTCACACAATAATTTTTTCTTAGGGACAGATCCTTTTCTTTTGGAGTATTTGATGAGGACTCCAATTTATCCTTTCATACATGTAACCATATAAGGAAAAATCAACATACAAGTGAGCTAGCTGTGTCGCTCAATGGAATCTATGGGTTTAAATCACTACAAAATTGACCCATTACGACAGTCAAATCCGTTGCAATCAAATATCTGGAATATGAACTTGGGGAGGGAATGAAATATAGGAGCGGAAAATAAAAAAATATTAAACTTACTTCCCTTATTTTGTTAGTAATATTAAAAGTAATTTGTTGCACTATTGATCATTCATTGGTTTTTTGGCTGTCCTGTTGGCCCCTAACTTAACCGCCTTAAGTTGGCCCCTAAACTTAACCGCCTTAAAGGGGGAACAATTAAGATGCTTTATGTGCAATGCACATGAGTGTACTTTTCATCTATCCATGTGTGTTCATTAACATTTACCAATTAAGAATACCAAAAACACGATGACAATATGAATGCAAAGAACAGTCATCTTTTTCCTAACCTATATACTAATTTTTCATATACATAAACCTTCAAATCCATAAGTTTTGATCTTTGCAAATTGTTTTTGAATCAGACTTTGCAAGTTGAATTGTTGTTAATTAACGTTGAGCTAATATGATCATTCTATTTTAGGCTAAATCAACAAATTTTATATGTAAATTGTAATATAAACTTCAGATTATGTTAATTAGTAAAAGTCGTAGGTTGGCCATTCATAGCATTCCGATGAATGAGGTTTCGACTTCCCATTCAGAATAGGTGATAATTGCGATTTTTAGTATTTTTTTCTTTCAAAACGGTGAACTAACGTCTTACCTAATCTACTAATTTGCTTAAAATATTATCTGATCTGGAGGTTGGTTTATGGATGTTGTGATTTGTGTTTTTGAAATTAAGGAACTATATAATGTAGGATTGTGGAGGTACAAATATTTTGCACTAGATGGGTTTTCTTTTTGAGAAATTATTCAGATATTCTTGGAAATGACTTTGTTGAAGCCATTAATGAGTTTAAAAAGTCAATTTGGATCTTGAATGGATATAATCAATATTTCATTGCGCTTATCTACAAGGTTAGTAATCTACTATGTGTGACTAATTTTAGAGTACTTTCATCGATTGGGAATTTAGAATAATTGCAAAAATTTTAGCAAATATATTCAGACATATAGTTTATTCGGTTGAGAGTCTAGTTAGACCTAGGACATGCAAACGTTTTTTTAGAACGACAAATATATAACTGAAAGCTAGCAAAAATCTAGGCAAAAGAAACAATTACATGGAACCAATAAACAAAATTGGGTCCTCCAATCAGGAAACACAATTGACATTGGTTTTACAACACCTACTATTAGCCCAAATGACACTTTGAGAAACCACCTTATCAAACAACAAGCATTTTTAGGCTTAATTTTACCTAAAAGAAAAGAATTTCTAAAGCACCAAATCGACCACCAGCGAGTGTAAAAAACAGCCTCCAGAAACTCCTGATAAAGAGAAGACAAACGCAACAAGCCAACCCAGTCAATCAAGTCTTGCACTGAAAATAAAGAAGGCATTTGAATATTCCACCATCTGTATAAAAGTTTCAATAAGTTGATAGTCAATTTACATTCAAAGAATAAATGAGTGACAGTCTCGACTTCCTTCTCGCGAATAGGACAAAAACATTAACTTTTATTGGAGTGACACGACACCATCTAATAGTTGTACACTTGTACCCAATAAGAAAATGCTTATCGATTTCAGATCTCACAGAAGACACAGAAAAAAGAACCGAAACCATCAAGGGACCAACTCCACATATCCGAAGATGAAGAGAGGATAACCAAGGATATGAAATCGGAGAAATCAGACCACTGCTCTTTCTTTATACCCGCTCTTTTTTTTCTTCTAAAAGAAGTAACCCAACCCTGTTGATGCATATCCAAAGCAAAAGAGATTTTCTTATCCAACGCGAGGGCATATAATCTGTGGAAGGAATTTTTTTTAAAGGGTATTACCAATCCAGTGATCCTCCAAAAAAGAAGTAAGCTTGCCATCTCCAATCACCATTTTGCAAAAAGACATAAGATCTATACCTTTAGAACATAAAGAATCAGCTATTGATACCCAAATGGAGTTACCAACACTCCTCAGTGAATGACCAAGTAACCATGTTCTCCGTGAATATATTTAATCACTTTAATCCAAAGAACAATGGGAAACGAAAGAAACCGCCAAATCCATTTAAAAAGAATAGCACGGGTTAGAGAAAAAAAAAGACTATTAACTCTGAGACCACCATATTGCTTTTGAGCCAATACCATTTTCCATTTAACCCAATTCATTTTACGTTCTTCCCAAATCCCCAAGAAAAAAAACATTATGAAAGGATTCTAAACGGTTGACAACAAACTACGAAGCTCAAAAAATAGACATAAAGTACGTTAGGGCAGCACCCAAAACTAACTTAAGTAACGTCAGTTTTCCCCTACCGAAAGAGTTTTATCCTTCCAATTCGAAAGTTTAGAAGTAAATTTCTGGATCATATTGTCATATGAAGCAATCTAATACATATTACCACCCACTATGTGACCTAAATAATAGAGCATAGTTTTACTAGGAACGTAACCAATAGAAACCATCACATCCTCCACTATCAAAAACTAAACTCCAAAACCCATCATAGTACTCTTGTGCACATTAATCATGAGGCCAGAAGGTAGAGAAAAACAATGAAGATGTAATAACCCAAAAACTATAAGGTAAAATTTTCATTTTAATTCAACCAGAAACACCAATTATACTATTTCCCAATCATTCAAAAAATATTTCAAAATAAAACAGTTATCAGAGTACAATCCCAAAATCATATAGTTACGGAAACATGGGTGGATGCGCTGCGATCAAGTCGGGCCCTTACCTTTCGAACCGGAAGTACCTGAAACCATAACCATAAAAATAGTAAGCAAAAAGCTTAGTGAGTTCCCCAAAATACCACATACCATACATACCCTTGGGCCTAGCCCTCATATTGGGCCCAACCCACAGTAATGGTCCTAGCCTGTCATACAATGGGCCTAGACCGACATACAATGCGAGAGTCACAGACACAGCTAGCGTCCTACATAACATATATTGGGCCTACCATTCCAGATCCATGGGCCTAACCTAACATATAAATGGGCCTAGCACGTCAAACAGTGGGCCTAGCCCAAGATATTATGCAAGAGTCACAAAAACAACTAGCATAACAGATCCTAGTGGGCAGACATTGGTCCCTTTGACCTACAGGTACAGTGACGAGACTCACCTGAATCACATAACCAAATAACACTCAGCTTAAAACCGCGTCAACCACAACTAACTGGTCTCCTGCCAAAAGATGGGTTCAAATCACCTCCTACCAAAACACCTCCTGCCAAACCACACAAAGCAAACCCTAAACCTTCCAAAAATAGAGATTAGCCAAAAAAGTCAACCCATACCAAAAGTCAAAGATCAAAAGTCAATAGACAAAATTGACTTTAGCTGACCGCCACGTCGTGGCCTTCACCCAACCAACTTACAGGAAATTCCCAGTCGCCACGTCGTGGCGACCTATGGCCACGCCGTGGGAACTGGGTTTACAGCAGCTTAATGGATTAAGCTGCCTTCCTTGATTCCAAGAGCTCCAAAGCTCCGATCTGGTCCAAACCATAGTCTGAATGAATAAAGTTTCCAACTTTGTTCATTAAGACACCCAAAGAGGACAAGATCTCAAACCCTAGGTCCAAATAAAGCCAAAATCCATAATGTATTAACCATTAAGCCCTTAATCTGAAAAATCTTGAACCCTAACTCTTCCAAAGGTCCGTAAAAATTATTACTTGATGGACATGCATGCCCCATGCATGTCCTTAACTAATCTTAGGTTAAATGGCAAGAAAATGACCTAAACTTATGCAAGATTCACTAGTCACCACCAAACTTCAGATCCAGAAGATATGATGCTCAAGGGACACCAGAGAGCAATAAAGTTGCCAACTTTATTCCATCCATTCACTCAAATCAACTCTATGAACCAAAAAGGGACCAAAACAACCTAGATTTAAAAGAATAACTCAAAAGATAGAGACTTGAATCCTTACAAATTGTCCAGAAGGTGATAACCAAGATGATAAAGTGTTTCTTGCTTGATCCTTGCACCAATTCTTCCTCACTTCCTTCCATAGAGCACCAAAACCACCCAAAATGAGCCACAACCACCAAGAGGGAGAGGATTAAGGTCTATCTGAGGTTGAGGGGGATAGAGGCCGAAAAATGAATCATAGATCGAGTTAAAGAGGCTAAAATTTGAAGGGAACCCTAAAAGAGTCATGGGCTTGGGCCTGATCAGTTGTCACGTCGTGGTGGCTCAATAAAATACGTGTGCCATTTATTCAATGCCATGACGTGGGCATCCTTGTTCCACGTTGTGGCTTAGAGTTTTTCCCAAAAACTCTATCTTTAGCCCTAGAGAATAAAAATTAAACCATACTGGAACACGGGTGTTACAGAAGAAGTCTCAAAAACATAATTTAATCATTTCAAAATATGAAGTGATTGTTATAAAAAACAATTAATTAAGCAATCAAATTCTAATTAACCGATACATTTATTTATTCAAGATAAATTAAAGCATACATTGTTCCAAAACAAACATTGTTTTAAAATACCAGTACTTTATGTTCTAAACATAAATAATAAACCAAACTTCGAGATTGAAGTTTCAACTTGCTTGTGCTCAGCTACTAATTACTCTTCTTGAATATCTGTATGCATTTACAAATATTACATTAACATTAAGTATCAAGTACATGAGTGTTAGTATAAGTTGTATCTAGTAGATACCTGAATGAGTTGTAT